TGTGTGTGTGTGTGTGTAGGAGGTAGATACAGAAAAATGAGAGGAATGATTATTACACTGTCTTTACGTGCTTGTTGAAAAGTCTGTTGGGATAAAGGACCTTGGGAACCTCTCTGACTTGCACTGTGGGTGCCGCTGAATGAGCTGCTCAGAGCCCCCACAGTGCTGTGGAGGGGGTGGGGGATGTTGTCCATGATGGATGTCAGCTTTGCTAACACCCTCCTCCCCCCCACCTCCTCAATCAGGTCCAGGGGGCGCTGCAGGACAGAGCTGGCCCTCACACCACAGCATAGAACACTGAGTCCTGCACACTCTGAAAGACCTCAGCGTGGCCTCCACGTTGCATCTCGCTGATTGTTATGACCCTTATATTTAAAGATGCTGTCAAAGCACTTTGTAAACTCTGTTTTTTAAAAGTGCTATATAAATTATCATTATCTTATCTTGTAGGTTTACTTTGGAAACAAAAACATCGATCAACTCACAAATTAAAGTGTGCTATTATGGACGTAAAGGTCCAGTGTGTAAGATTGAGGTGAAAGGGGACTATTGTACAATACAATCATTACAATAATTTTGACACATGTAATATCAGCTGTGTTAAGCAGCCAAGACTGGTACTTACAGTTTATTCTGTGTTCAGCAGGTGGAAGCTCCACAGATTTCAGCCACAAATTTCAGCCAAACTTATTAATATTAATTTATTAAAATTACAATCAAATGACAAAACACAACTCTTTACTAAAGCTAGTTAACTTGCTTCAAACTTCATTAGACGTGTTAAATTAACAGTAAATCACCACAATAACATCCAAAACCACTTGAGGCATGTAAGTATGTGGTATGATTATAATAATAAATAAATCAATAGGTTTTGTTATTGTAAAGTTTCAGGGTAACTTACCTCTGTTCGGTTCGATGTTACGACCGCGACCATCCCGGAGCAACAACACCGCAGCGCTAGCCGGTTAGCAGTAGCGGGTAGCATTTAGCCTAGCTCCTTAGCCTGAGCTAACCAGGTAACGGCGTGGCTCAGTTGTCAGTCTTCATTCGGCCCACCTAGAGTCCACTCGCCCGCCTCCTCTTTGCCCAGATTTAATGCCGAATAATCCTCATCTTTCTCCCTTCAGCTTTCCCCACTTGGGTCTTCCAGCGTTGGCGAATGCAGCACTGGCAACAATGTGACGACCTTTCACCAGAGCAGTTATTTCTGCCACATTAAATATGTACAGGAAATTAAAATTGTGCAGTAAAAAAATGTGTTTTTGATGTTATTGTGGTGATTCACCGTTTATTGAACACGTCTAATGAAGTTTGAAGCAAGTTAACTAGCTGTAGTAAAGAGTTGTGTTGTCATTTGATTGTAATTTTAATAAGTTAATATTAATAAGCTGCATGTGTAAGCTGCATGTGATACAGACTCGTAGAACCACCATCACTATTACAACCTCTTTTTTAGCCTGTTATGGAATTCACAGTGAATCAACTTGAATATTACAGATGTGGTAGAAAGACATTTTATATATTTGTACAATGTTTATTTCTTTTAGTACATCAGTTTGGCTGAAATCTGTGGTGCTTCCACCTGCTGAACACAGAATAAACTGTAAGTACCCGTCTTGGCTGCTTAACACAGCTGATATTACACGTGTCAAAATTATTGTAATTATTGTCTTCTACAGTATCTGTAAATGATCATGTTTCTCCTCTGTTCCTTAATATCTACAGATGTGACAATGATTTCAGCATAAAACATCCTTTAACATGACTTTTTTCATTTCATGAAGCACTGCAACACCTGATGTCCTCAGAATCCACTGTGGCAGCAGCAACAWGGTGGAGATCGGCAGCTTCAGGCTGGTCAACATGWTAATAATATTGAGTCAATTTCTATATCCATTATGGTTGGTAAAATTAACACTATCACAACAATGTTCATCTTTTACTTTCTGATTTGATAAACCTTAGATAAAAAGTGTTGTCTTTTCTTTTTTGCCATAAGAGACAGAACACGGTCAGCACAGCTGTGTCCCTCAGGTTCGTCCGTCCCTAATAAAATGACAGGAAACATAAAGTATGGCATTATTGCAGAGATACGTGTTACTTTCAAACAAAGTCTGTGTCCTTATATTCTGTGGATATTTAAGTATGTATCTGAATATGGTTTGGGATTAAACAGTGTACTACAATGAATGTGCAGTATGGAGTTCTTTCACATTAAAAGTATTGCATWTATAATGTAATGCATCATGTGCAATCATTTGCTTTAATTGTTAGTAAGTTATGAAACAGGTCTATACCTGGAGTCAGTGCTGAAGTGATGACTCAGTGTTCAGTCTTGTTGGAGTCCAGTTCTGTCTCCTCATGCTGGACATCCATGGGTGCAGGACATCTGAGTCACAAGTTCACGTTTCAGTCGATCACAGTAAATCTGTTCCTGCAGCATGTTCATCTAGGTTTGTGGTAATATTAATGAATGTGGTATTAATAAAGTCCAGCTCAACAAGTTTCACACTGCAGCAGCTACACTCACGTTATTTCTGAAACAATAATCTAATAAAACATTAATACTGAAGTTACTCACAGTAACGTAGTCAAGTCAAATAGGTTGGCGAGCTGAACAACTTTACATAACGTTAAATATCTAACTTGGTGGAGCTCATTCACTAAACACACAGTCGCCTTCAGTTTAAAAGATTTATCACCATGAACTCTAACGCTCCTCTCTCCGCTGTGTGGACGCTTCATGTCGGGTTAATAACCCCCGTCGCCCCCGTTAGCATCGCCGTTACTGCTGGTATGTTGCCTGGAGGTTAGCGGAGCTAAGCTAACCAGCCAGGTACAGAGACAATGATACCTGCTCATCACTACTGACACGTAAATCAAAGACAGTACTTTACTCACCACAGACACTGCAGCACAGACGTCTTCCACTTCTCCGTCAGGACAATCAGCCGAACAACAAACGATAATGTTGAGATTGAGACTAAACTAAAAACCAGGCTGTAAACACGTTGAATTCTGCTCTAAAGTCGAGCTTTTTAACATGGGAGTCAATGGGAATTGACTCCTTCTTGGAGCCAGCCTCAAGTGGCCAGCCAGTGAACTGCAGCTTTTTGCACTTCTGCATTGACCTCATCGCTCAGCCCGAGTTGTTGCCGCTGGGTTGTAATACAACACAATGTCCACCAGATGGAGCATTCAAGTTCTCAGTTGTAATAACCTACAATGTCCACCAGATGGCGTAATCAAGTTCTCAGTTGTAATA